CTGTCCTCTCTGCACCCTGCCTTCCCTGTCCCTTGGGGCTGCTGCTTCTCTGGGGGTCTCGTCCTGTGCGCCATGTCTGTGTCCACCCAGTCTTGCCTTGTCCCTCTCCTCTGGCCCCAGCGTCTGTGCTGTCTTCAGTGCTGTGTCTGCAGCTCCTTCCTCCCCTGTCAAGTGACATGGCTCTTGCCGCCTGTGCTCTGCTGGGCTCCAGAGACCCATGCAAATCACTGTCAGTCCTCGGCTTCGAGGAGTCGCTGGCCGTCGCGGTACACGCAGGCCTCTGGTGCGCACCTCAGCGTGACGGGTCCTAGTGATGGTGGTCTTTGTCACAACCCCAGGGAGGAGTCATGTTAACAGAGAAGTGATGTCAGTGGCCAAGGCCACTGGGCTGGCAGTGCTGGGCAGCCACCTCCCGTCCTCCGCTGTGCCCTCCTGCCTCTCGCTGGAGCCTGGGCCTGGGGCATGGCGGCCTGGCTCCGCCCTGGCACATTTTGTGAGCCTGGGGGAGAGACCCGCCTCCCTCAGCGTCTGCCCCCCCATCCATCTGTGCTGGGGTGAGTGTGGGCTGCACTGGGCCAGGTGGAGTCCTGCAGGCCACTGCGCCATCACAGGCCTGGGAGGCTGACCCCCCGCAGGTTAGCAAGCCAGGAGCTGTTGTGAGGACAGGACCAAGGCCCACAGGGAGGGACCAGGGACCTGCCCAGCTTCCTGTGGGCGGAGCCTGGTCCCCACCCCCTGGCTGGGCTGGAGCTGACTGTCCCCTGCCCTCAGGAATCCTCGTGGCCCACTACCTCCAGAGCATCACGCCATGCCTGGCCCTGGGTGGAGAGCTGGTCTACCACCGGCGGCCCGGAGAGGAAGGCACCGTCATGTCGCTGGCTGGGAAATACACACGTGAGCCTGGGCTGAGGGCAGGGCTGGGACCTGGCTTCCCAGATGGCGCGGCTCCTTGGTGACCACCCCCACTGTCCTCTCTTACAGTTAACAACTGGTTGGCCACAGTGACACTGGGCCAAGCAGGCATGCACGCGACGTACTACCACAAAGCCAGTGACCAGGTGAGCTGGCAGCCCGTGTGGAGGGCGTGCTCACAGGCCGGGGTCTCGGGCTGTGCGCCTGGAACCCCGAGGTGGCAGCTCACTCTTGCGCTGTCTGCTCCTCCAGCTGCAGGTAGGCGTGGAGTTTGAGGCCAGCACGAGGATGCAGGACACCAGCGTCTCCTTTGGGTACCAGCTGGACCTGCCGAAGGCCAACCTCCTCTTCAAAGGTAAAGCCCGTTTCCCTCCGTGGAAAACAGATAAGAGGTGACTCAGCTCGTGGTGGGTGTGGAGGCCAAAGGAGATGAGGGACGGCTGTGTGCCGGGGCTTTTGTGGGCCTCCAAAGCACCCAGGGAGGCCTTTTAAGAAGTAGGTGCTGGGGCCCCACCCCTGGAACATCTGATGGCCATGTCTGGGCCGAACCCAGAGCATCGCGCTCTCTGCCCAGCCCCCCAGCTCTCGTCGCCCTCTCTGCCGTGGCTTGCTGTCCTTCCCCACCCCACCCCCCATAAGGAGAAGGCACCCTGGAAATCTTGTGCCCCCCATTCATCCCACATTATAGGAATTGAGGCTCTGGGAAGTGGCCTGGTCACCAGGATGACTGTCTCCAGTCCTGATGACCATGCCTGAGCCGCAGTGGTCCTAGGTTTAAGGTAGGCAGCAGCCACCTGGGGGGCTGGGAACTTGTCCACTCCTACAGCCTGCCCTCCTGGTGACCCTCTGCTACATGACCAGCCTGTGTGAGGGGACCTTCTGGAGTGCCAGGTTTGCTTCTGGCACCTTCCTTCTGACCCTTCACAAGGTGTGGTGACAGCTCCATGCAGTGGCCCATCTGCAAGGTCCTGCACGATGGATCCTTAGAAGACATCTCGGTCTTTGGGCAGAGGCGGCCCCTGCTTGGCCCTGTCTGCAGGCCCACAATGGGGAGCGCTGCCCGGTCCCTGGAGGAGGATGACCCAGAGTGGACCCACTGGGGTGGGGTCCCAGGGTCCTGGCAAGGGCTTCCCAGAGCCAGGAGCAAGCTGTCGGCTCCCAGGAGTGAAGGGGCTGGGCTGGGCTGCACGGAGTGGCTTCCAGGTGCAGGTTGCAGTGGTCAGCCGCCTGAGGAGGCCTGGAGTGGGACCTAGCACGTCTCTTAGCACAGCTGTTGACCCACAGGCTCCGTGGACAGTAACTGGATCGTGGGCGCCACCCTGGAGAAGAAGCTGCCGCCCCTGCCTCTGACGCTGGCCCTTGGGGCCTTCCTGAACCACCGCAAGAACAAGTTCCAGTGCGGCTTCGGCCTCACCATCGGCTGAGTCCACTCCACTCCGCCTCCACGCCCTTCCTCCTCCACCTCCCACGGAGGGAGACCTGAGCCCCTCCCCCTCTTCTCCCTCCCTCCTCCAGGGTCGGGGGCAGCGGAAAGGAGGGGACCCGCCACCCCAGCAGCTGAGGAGGGGGTCCTGGATCCGAGGGGGCGCTTCGGGACTCTGAGCGCCGGGGCCGGGTGAGCCCAGTGGGCTAGGGTCCCAGGGGAGATTCCGGAATCCGGGCGCTGGATTCTGAGCACCAGGGCAGAAGTGGCCAGACAACCTCAGGGAGGAGTGTCATGGCGTCCCCATCCTTCACAGAGGGCCCCGCCGAGCCCGCCCAAGGGGCAGCAAGAGGAGCTCCCTGCCCCGTCAGCCCGCCCTGCCCACTTTCCCTTCTACCCCTCGGTATAAATCATGTTTATAAGTTATGGAAGAACCGGGACATTTTACAGAAAAAATGGAAAAAAAAAAAAAAAAAACAATATACATGGGGGAAAAAAGCGGTTGAGGTGAGGGGCCTCCATTTTCTGTGCTTCTTCCCGCGGTGGCCAGCAGGGGGCGCGGGGAGGCCGGGGCACAGGACGGCCTGGCGCTCTGCTAGGGAAGAGCCTGGCCAGCACCAGCGCCCCGTGGCCTGTGCCCCACAGGGACAGCACAGCCTTCCTTTGCAAGAGGGCGGCCTCTCCAGGTCAGTGGCCCCATGGGGCCTGGCCAGTGGCCTCAGAGGACTTTGTTCCTGCATATTGAAGCAACAGGGGTGACTGGGGCTGGGGGCAGGGTCCCAGGATCTTCCCAGATGACACAGGAAGAGGGTGGTAGGACTTCTCAGGACCTTCACAGCTTTCATTAAAGGGTCCAGGCTGCTGGGAGGGCGTCAGGACTGTTAAGAAAGGAAGAGGCACCCGAGGGGAGGAGAGCAGCCAGTGAGTGGGACGGGTCGCCTGTATCTGAGGGATTGTTGGGTTTTTTCTTTTGATGAGGGATCTCCCTGTCTCCCAGCCAGTTGTCTGAAGTTCTGTGCCCAAGTGACCCCTGCCCTCTGCCTTCCCAGCTGAAGGCTGGCTGCCCTGCACTCAGCAGGAGGCGTCGGAGCTGGCCAAGCTGGAGCTCACAAACTACTGACTCCTCCAGACAGGAACTGAAACCGGGCCCCCCCAGGATTGGTGGGGTGCTGCTGGGTACAGATGACCCCTAGTTACCCTCAGAAGCCACCTCCCCGCCTCTGCCAGCCATCTCTAAATCCAAAGCAAACAGTCCTGGGCCTGACCAGGCATGAGGGCTCCTTTCCCAGGTGCTCAGCCTCCTACCACAGAGTCCAGGGTTCCCAGCCCCTTGAGGAGCCAGGTGTGAGCCCCAGGGCCCTGTCCTTAGCCTGGCTTCTCCCTGTGCCTCAAGTCTGAAACAGTGGGGAACACGAGGACTGTCAAGTTCCTGACCCATCATGTCCCTGAGCTGATACAGGGACTGTCCCCAGTACCTGCCACCTAATTAATCACCTGGCCTTATTGCCAAGCCACTTCTGACACTGCAGCTCTTAAGACCACCCCACCCCCATGCTGGCATCGAGCCCAGGTGCTCTACCACTGAGCCACGTCCCCAGCCCATTTCATTTTGAGTGGGTCTCACCAAGTTGCCCAGCCTGGCTGAAAACTTGAGCAATCCTTTGCCTCGCCTCCCAAGGCCTGGGATTGGACGTGTGCGCTGCGCCAGCTGCTTTCCCACTTTTTTTGGTTTTGTTTTTAACACTTTTTTAGTTGTTGGACACAATACCTTTATTTTTATTTGTTTTTAATTTTATGTGGTGTTGAGGATCGAACCCATCGCCTCACACTTGCTAGGTGAGCGCTCTACTGCTGAGTCACAACCCCAGCCCCTCCACACTCTTTTTTAAAAAAAGTTGTCAGTGGACCTTTATTTATTTATATGTGGTGCTGAGAACAGAACCCAGTGCCTCCCACATGCTAGGCAAGTGCTCTACCACTCAGCCCCAGCCCCAGCCCATGCTTTCCCACTTTTATAGTAAAGAGGCTGCTCAGAGGTGGGTCGTTTGCCCAAGATCTCAAGCTGGCAGTGGGCAGAGGCAGGATTCAAGTGCCGGTGGTCAGGTCTGGAGTCCAAACCTAACGGCACTTTTTGCTTCCAGCGTATGAAGGGAACCCTGCCTGTCCCAGCCAGCGGCTGCTGGGTTCCCGTTTCACAAGTGGAGGAAAGAGCTCTAAGAGGTCCCCTGCACCCGAGGTCACACTCGAGAGGGAGCAAGGGCCAGGTGCGGTGGCGCACATCTGTAATCCCAAATAAAAAGTACAAAATAAGGCTGGGGATGTGGCTCAGTAGCCGAGTGCCCCTGAGTTCGATCTCCGCCCTGCCCCCTCCCCCAAAAAAAGATGGAGCAAGGGTTAAAACCAAGTTTCACTCAAGTGCTCATGCCCATAAGGTCCCCGGCACCCCAGAATAGAGGAGGACGCCTGGATTACTGAATGAGGAGTCGTCTCCCTTCCTGGGGGCTGGGGGTGGGAAGTGGTCCAAGGCCTCCATGCCCCACCTCCTTGGCCCTGTTGTGTGTGAGGAGGGAGAGGACAGCCTGCCTCGTGACAGGGGGCTGGCCGAGCCCGCCCTAGCCCTGGGGTAGGGGGCGGGGCAGGGGAGCCCTATAATTGGAGGAGTCTGGGCTCCCAGAGCCCTGCTCAGCTCCTGCGGACTCAAAGGACCTGGTACCCCAGGAGCCGGTGAGATGAGCAGCCAGAGGGCACAGGGACCAGCAGAGGGGTCTGGGGATGATGTGGGCACCTCAAAACCCCCTGACCTCTAGGGAAAGTCAGGGGCTAGGAGGAAAAGGCAGGAAGCTCAGAGAGCCATTTGAGAGACAAGATGGGGGAGAAGCAGTGACCGGCCTCTGCCTGGATCAGTCCAGACACAGGAGCAGGGGAGTGCACCTTGAAAAGCCAGCGGTAGGGCCTCCCACTCTTTCTAGAAGGTGGAGGATGGGGACAGCATTTGGGGCAGCTGGAAAAACCCAGAGATGAATCCTAGCCAAATCCCACTGTCATTTATTGAGCACCTACTGGATGCCCCCATTTGTCTTCAGGTCTCCATAATCGAAGATGCAGGGGTGGCCAGACCAGATTGAAAGAAGGACTTTTCTATGAGGGTTAAATTAGCATGTAGATTGAAATCAGCGCTTAGACGAGACTTTGGAGCTTAGAATGTGAAGGTGGATGGAGGAACGCAGAGCTGGACCTTAGAGAGCCCGGCTGGGTGGGGGCTCAGTGGAATCTGAACCCTGGAGAGGGAGATGGAATTTTGGCAGCCAACGGAGAGATAGGAGAAGACAAAGAGGGAGTTAAATAGCCGAGTTGGGGGGAGCAGCCTGGTGAATGTTTATGATTGGATTAGGTTATCTCAGATCTTGGGGTGGGGAGGCTTTCAAGGTGGGGCCAGGCTGGGGGGAGGAGTCCCCACAGGGCTGTTGATTCAGTCTCTCCCCTCCCCAGACTGACCATCAGGCAGAAAGATGAAGGTTCTGTGGGCCGTGTTGGTGGCCACGCTCCTGGCAGGTATGGAAGCAGGGCCTGCCTGGTGACCTGCATGTCCCTCTTCTATCCCTTGGCCTCATTCAAGTCCTCAACCCCCTTTTCTGTGACCCATCCTCCTTGAGAGTGAGGCCCAGGTCTGAGGCCTCCCTGACCTTCACTGGCCCTGAGCAGCTGCTGTCCACTCTTTGGCCTGTTTTCCCATCTGTAAAATGGGCACAAGCAATGTCCTGCTGCCATGCTCTCAGGTAGGTAGTGAGTACCGTCCAAGAGTCGGCTGTGACCCTCCTCATTCTCCCTCGCCCTTGTGCAGCCTGACACGGGGCCCACAAAGGCACAAAGGATGTGGACAGTGATTAATCAGACCACCCCCTCCCTGCCCGCCTGGGCTCCAAGGAGGCCCCAGCACTGTGCGGCGCCTGCTCTGTGTGAGGGAGCTTGCCTGACCCTGATGGCCCCGAACTTGCCCTACACAGGATGCCGGGCAGAGCGGGAAGTGGAGCCAGAGGTACAGGAGCAGATCAAGTGGCAGATTGGCCAGACCGGCCAGCCCTGGGAGCTGGCACTGGGCCGCTTCTGGGATTACCTGCACTGGGTGCAGACGCTCTCTGACCAGGTGCAGGAGGAGCTGCTCAGCTCCCAGGTCACCCAGGAACTGGCGTGAGTGCCCCCACCCCTGGCCTTTGACCCTCTTGCTGCCTCTGGATCCTCTGAACCTCCAAGGACTTGGGTTCTTTTCTGTCCCTGGGTCTCTGCCTCTTTCTTGCCTTCCTTTAAACTCCTGGCTTTACCTCTCTGCTTCCCCCCAGCTCTCTGTCCCTGCCCATCCTCCAGGCTCACAGGCTGGTGCTTTCTGCCTCTGTCCCACATCCCCATCTCCTTTACTTATTTATTTATATTTTTTAGTTGTATATGGACAGAATACCTTTATTTTATTCATTTATTTTTATGTGGTGCTGAGGATCAAACCCAGTGCCTCACACGTGAGGCAAGCGCTCTGCCACTGAGCCACGACCCCAGTCCCCGCTCCTCCCTTTTTATTTTTATTTTGAGACACTGTCTCACTAAGTGGTTTAGGACCTTGCTCAATTGCTGAGGCTGGCCTCCCACTTGGGATCCTCCTGCCTCTGCCTCTGCCTCCCAAGTTGCTGTAGTTACAGGCATGTGCCGCCACCCCTGGCCCCTGGTCCTTCTTTGTCTTAATCTCTGTTGCCTTGATCTCTCTGCATCTGTCTCAGTCTCCTCTGGGCCTCTTCCCCTTCCTCCTCTTCCCCTTCGGGTCCCCCATCTGTCTCAGTCCTCGTCTTGCAGCATCCGCCCTCTTGGCCCGCAGGGTGCTAATAGAGGACACGATGAAGGAGGTGAAGGCCTACAAGTCGGAGCTGGAGGAGCAGCTGCGCCCGATGGCCGAGGAGACGCAGGCCCGGCTCTCCAAGGAGCTGCAGGCGGCGCAGGCGCGGCTCGGGGCGGACATGCAGGACGTGCGCAACCGCCTGGAGCAGTACCGCAGCGAGATGCGGGCCATGGTGGGCCAGAGCACCGAGGAGCTGCGGGCGCGCCTGGCCTCGCACCTGCGCAAACTGCGCAAGCGGCTGCAGCGTGACGCCGAGGACCTGCAGAAGCGCCTGGCCGTGTACCAGGCCGGGGCCCGCGAGGGTGCCGAGCGCGGCGTGAGCGCCATCCGGGAGCGCCTGGGGCCTCTGGTGGAGCAGGGCCGCCTGCGGGCAGCCACCGTGAGCAGCCTGGCCAGCCAGCCGCTGCGGGAGCGCGCCCAGGCCTGGGGCGAGCGGCTGCGCGGGCGGCTGGAGGAGGTGGGCAGCCGCGCGCGCGACCGCCTGGACGAGGTGCGCGAGCAGGTGGAGGAGGTGCGCGCCAAGGTGGAGGAGCAGGCGGCGCAGATGCGCCTGCAGGCCGAGGCCTTCCAGGCCCGCCTCAAGAGCTGGTTCGAACCCCTGGTAGAAGACATGCAGCGCCAGTGGGCCGACCTGGTGGAGAAGATGCAGAAGGCCATGAGCGCCAGCACGGCCCCCGCGCCCAGCGACAACCACTGAGCGCCGGCCCCACTGCCCGGCCCCACTCCACCCTGCTCTGCCTCCCTTCGGCAGCAGAACCCTGTCCCCACCACAGCTGGCCCCCTGCGGCCTCTGCTTAATAAAGATGTACCGAGCTTCTCAGCACCAACCCCGCCTCCCTGTGTGATTCCTCACCGCTCCAGCCTCAGTCTGCCCTTCCTTCCGCACCCGGCCACACTGTTCCCAGTAGTCACCTTTTCTGCCTGTGGTGGGCGTGTGTGTATCGGTGTCTTCCCTTTGTTGGTCTTGGTGCTGCGGATTGAACCCAGCCCCACGGAATCACTGAGCTACGTCCCAGCCCTTTTTAAATAAATTTTTATTATTTATATTTTATATAAACATATATAAACATATAAGCAACTCACTAAACTGCTGAGGCTGGCTTTGCACTCAGGATCCTCCTGCCTCAGCCTCCTGGACTGCTGGGATTGCAGGCGTTGCTGCCAGGCCTGCCTTTTGTTGAGGGCGCTGGAATGGACCCAGGGACACTTACTACTGAGCCACATTCCCGGCCTTTTTTTCTTTCTTTTTAATATTTTTAAAGTCGTGGTTGGGCACAATACCTTTATTAATTTTTTTTAATTTTTAGGTGGATACAATGTCTTTATTTTATGTGGTGCTGAGGATGGAACCCGGGGCCTCCTAGGTGCTAGGCAATTGCCCCACTGCTGAGCCACACCCCCAGCCCACTCCTCCCCAGCCCTTTTCATTTGAGACAGGGTCTGGCTAAGTGGCAGAGGCTGGCCCAAATTTGCAATGCTCCTGCCTCAGCCTCCTGAGTCACTGGGATACCAGGCGTGCTGCCCACCGGTCGAGTCTCAGTTCCTCATCTTCGTAACACCTGTTTCACAGTGGCTGCCACCAGAGTCCCGATGGGCCCCGTGGACTTGGTTGACTGTGCTGCTTCGCCTTTCTCTGCTCCTTCCCTCCTTTGTCTCTGTCCTGCTCTTCCTTCAAGGTCCATCTTCTGGTTTCCTGTTTCCCTGGACCTGTTATCTCTCCCTCCTACAGTGGGTTGCTCTTGCTCTCTTGCGGGTGGTGGTGGGGGGGGCTTATTGCTTTCTCCCCTCCCACCTTCCCTGGGTCTGTCCCCTCCGTCACGTTTCCTCTGAGCCGCAGCCTTCCTCACAGCCCCAGTTAGCCAGCTGCCTGGCCTTTGCCCTCTCTGGCCTGAGCGTCCATGCTCTGTGCAGCTCTCCATTCTCCTCTCCCCAGCTGTGGTGCCCAGCTTTTGTTTTCCCCAGAAAGCCTATGGGGTGCAGGGTTCAGGCTGGGGAGATGAGAGGCACCTACCAGGCACCCTGTAGGAGTCTGCTCAGGCCCTGAGCGGAGCTGGGAGCCGGCCCGCAAGGCGAGGGTGGAAGGATTCTGGAGGGGCTGGCTGCCTTCCCCTCCCACCCCCTCAGTTCTCAGAGAAAGAGCAGGGTTCCCACCAACTGGGGCAGGCCAGGGCTTGAGCTGTGTCTCCGGGGTTTGGCCTGTGCCTCCCCAGTCCCCTGCTGGCCTTGGCACACCCTGAGCTCAGCTTTCCCTGGCACAGCTTTGAGCACCCATGTGCAGACAGGCTCCCTTCCTGGAGGTGACTCACCCAGCCACTGGGGAGGGGAAGGGTCACTGGGCTCAGAGACCAGGGCCTAGTTGGCTGGGGGCATGCCTGTTCAGAGCCTCAGTTTCCCTGGTGAAGTGACAGATGCCACCTCCACTTAAGAACTGAATCCTGAGCAGGGCGCAATGTCATACACCTGCAATCCCAGCAGCTCAGGAGGCTGAGGTAGGAGGATCGCGAGTTCAAAGCCAGCCTCAGCAAAGCAAGGTGCTAAGCAACTCAGTGAGACCCTGTCTCTAAATAAAATATAAAATAGGGCTGGGAATGTGGCTCAGTGGCACAGTGCTTCTGAATTCAATCCCTGGTACCCCTCCCCACCAAAAAAAAAAAAAAAAAGAAAACAAACAAAAAAAACTGAATTCCGAATTCTATGCCTGAATCTCAACAACTTGAGAAGCTGAGGCAGGGGTATTTCGAGTTGGAGACCAGCCTCAACAAATTAGCGAGGCTCTCGGCAACATAGTGAGACCCTGTCTCAAAATAAAAACAATAAGGTCTGGGAATGTGGCTCAGTGGTAAAGCACCCCTGGATTCAATCTCTAGTACCAAAAGAAAAGAAAAGAAAAGAAAAGAAATCCTTACTATTGAATTCTCACCAGTGGAGACATCTAAACAGAGGGTGCCCGACTTCACCACAGCCGTGGCCAGACCCAGGAGGAACAGGGACTGAGGAGTGGGGATCAAAGACTAAGAGGGTGCTGTGGCCAGTGGCTGACCCCAGCAGGGATCCAGAGAGCCCTCCCAGAGTCCAATAATGGAGTGGGGGACAAAGCCCTCTCATTCCTCCGTCAGTTTCCCCACTGTCAAAACCAGAAACCCCTGCAGCGGAGGAGGAGAGAGAAGGAAATAGCAAAGGCGCTGCTACCCCATTCCCAGAGAGATGCAGACATCCGGGTGGCTGTCTGTGGAGCAGCAGGAGGGTCCGGCCAGAGGCCAGCACACAGGGACGGGAAGCTGAGTCGCCCGGGGGTGTTGCAATCCTGCCAGGGTCGCATTGGTACCATGCCTTTCACAACCAGCCCCCCACCCCCAGAGCAGACACGTGGTTGTGGGGGCACAGGGCCAGCCAACCTAGCGTCTGGGGACGGCCACCCTCCCCACCAGCTGCCAGGGATCACTGGCGGTCAAAGGCAGCCCATGGGGAAGGGGGAAGGCCTTGGAACGCAGCCCTGGAGAAAAGATGTGAGACGGGGAGGAAGTGGAGGGGCAGGCTTGGAGCCAGGAGGGGCTTGGGGGTGTGGAGCCAGGAGGGGCTGGGGGGCAAGCGATGGGGTTGCACAGTGGGGGTTCTGCAGCTTCGGTTTTGCAGTTTAGAGAGGCAGAGGAGGCAGATGTGGTGGTGCACACGGGAGATCTTACAGACTCCAGAGACTGAAGCAAGAGGATCACAAGTTCAAGGCCAGCCCCCCGCTATTTATCAAGACCCTATCTCAAATTTTAAAAAAGACTGGGGATGCCACTCAGTAGTTAAGCACCTCTGGTTTAATCCCCAGTGCCAATACCTAAATAAATAGGCAGAAGAGACATGTACCCCTAAGAGGAACTGAAGTTTGGACCCCAGAGATCAATCACCCAGGTGCACGGGGCGGGCAGCTGCGGGGCCAATGTCAGAAGAGGGCTGGGGGTGGCGGCGGGGTAGGAGCCAGGCACCGAGGGAATGTCTGAGCTAGGGACATTTGCAGAGGCGGGAGGGCAGGTGGAGGAGGTGGGCTGGGGACACAGCAGGCACCTGGGATGAACCTGAACCACACAGAGTTTTTCCTGAGACTCCTGAGGGGAGAGGGCAGCAGGGAGGGGGGTGAAGCTGTGCCTCCCGAGTGCAGGAGGGGGGCCACCGCGGGCTGAGGGTGCACCCCACTCCCTGGTCAGGAGGTTTGGAGGGAGGGTGCTTAAGAGTGACGGGCCTTGGCACTAAGGGACAAGTCCCGACCAAACTAATAGCCCTCGGACTCCCACCAGCCAGCTAAGGGCAAAAGGGAGGAAAGTGGGTGGGCACAGCGGTGGGGCGGGGCCACGAGGGCGGGGCTTAATTTGCCCCGCCCCAGCCCAGCCTGATAAAAGCCGGCGGGTTGGGGACCTCCTACCCTACCTGGTCTGGGACTGTCCTAGCCCAGGTTGGTCCCAGGAGGGAGACACAAGAGCTGGGTGGGGGTGGAGAACCACGGTGGGGAGGGAAGTGGGGCCACTAATGTCGCCACCCGCCTCTGCCTCCAGGTGCCCCTCGCCGCCATGAGGCCCCTCCTGGCGCTTTCGGTTCTGATGGTGGTCCTGTCCGTGGTTCTGGAAGGTAAAAGTGGGCTAGGGGAATTGGGGGATTGGAGGTTGGGGACTAGGACGCTGGCCACAGCCTCAGGGTCCAGCATAGGGAGTCCTTGAAAGCTCTGGGGCCCTTCTGTGCCCTGGTTCCCCTGCAGTCCTCTGGTCACCCACCCCTAGCATGCTAGGAGGGTCTCAGGGTTCTCTAAAGGTCTGTCCAGTGTGGCAAGGCTGCCCAGGGAGCCCCACGACGGGTGACTTATGGGTCCCTCTGGGACTGGCTGTCCCGCATCTTCCTCCTTGCAAGGGACAGGAAGGTGAGGGCCACTCCAGTGCCCGCTCCCATTCTAACTCCAGGATCCCCAAGGGTGACTTTCAGGGACCTCCATATCCATCCCTGGAACCCCATCCTAGGGATTCTGCCTAATCACTGACATGTTTTCACCTCTCCCTCGATTGGGGGAGCAGGCCCAGCCCCAGCCCAGGCCGCCCCAGACGTCTCCAGCACCTTTGAGCAAATCCCGGGTAAGCTGAAGGAGTTTGGAAACACCCTGGAGGACAAGACCCGAGAAGCCATCAACCACATCAAGAACAGTGACTTTGCTACCAAGACTCGGTTAGGGCCCTTCCCAGGGGGCCGTGAAGGGACCTGTGGGTGAAGCCCCAAAGGGAAGTCCAAGATTAGCAGATTGGGGACACCGAGGCCCTAAGAGGCTTACAATATCCCTGTGGTCACCCAGCTAGATCTCAGGGTGCTAAGATTCACGGGACAGGTGCCCTGACTCCCATCCTGGAACATTTTAGAGATGGGCCTGGGGGGTCACAAAGGACCCCAAGCAGGACAGTCCACAGGCTGGTGTAGACACCCTTCTTCCTGAGGGATCCCAGGAGAGGGGCGTGACAGCTGCCTGAGACCCCTCATCTCTAAAAGGAGTAGTTCTGAGGGGAGTAAGGGCCCTGAATGCCACCTGGCACGGGATCAAGGCTGATGCACTAATTAACCAACTTTTGTGCCCTTGGGCAAGTAGAGAATCCTCCATTTGTTAAGAGGTGTTTATTGAGCATCTTCCAAATGCAAGGAAGCCATCAACCTGGGGAAGTACACAGAGGTGACAAGTGGGGGAGACAGATGATAAACTGGTGAATCCCAACTAGTCCGCATGAGGTTAAGCACTGTGAAGATCCTAGAGAGGATGGGGGTGACAACCAAGGAAGGGAGAGCAGCTCTTTGAGATTGGTGGCTAGGTCTTCTCTGAGGAGGTGACATATTCAATTGAGATCTGAATGATGAGGAAAACTCAGCTGAACCAAAATTTAGGAAAAATGTTCTCTGTGAAGGGAAAGTACAAAGGCCCTGGGGCAGGAAGACCTGTCAGTAAGGAGAGGACTTCCAAGCAAGGGGGACAGTTCAGGAAAGGCCAGAGGCTGGACGGAGGGACAGCTAGGGCAGGAGCAGCCTTGGTGACAGTGTTGGGAGCAAGAGACGACAGGCCTGGAGCCAGGCCAGGTGAAGTGCTGTGACTTCCAAGGGCTCTGGTCTACCTGGGGAAACTGAGGCACACACAAGTTGACCCACCCAGCCCAGGTGTCTTCCTAATGCCTCAGACAATGGGGATGGGGACTCAGGAAGGGGACGATCAGGGAGTCATGGATAGAGTGGAACGGGGACCTCCTGGGGGGCTCCCGCAGTGACTCCTTCCCCCATTTCCCCCTCAGGAACTGGTTTTCTGAGACATTCACCAAAGTGAAGGAGAAGCTCAAAGACACCTTCTCCTGAACTCCTCAGGATGGAGCCCAGGCCAAGAGGGCGTCCATGAGCCCCAGCCCGTCACCCCACCTAATAAAAATCCTACAAGAATTCTCCCTGAGTGCGTCTTCACTGTGGGTCCCCAGGGGCTGCAGGACAGGGTCAGGTGGCGCCCTAAGGACTGCTGGCGGGGACTCCAAAGTATGGAGGTGCCTCGACTTGGCCTGTGCTCAGGAGGTTTTAGCTTTATGATCCCCAAAGAACCTGAAGAACTGTCGCTCCCAAAAAGGACACTAAGGCCCAGAGACGTGAAGTCCTTGGTCAAAGATCACATAGGCGGGGAGCAGAAGGCAGAGTGAAGCCTCAACCTCCACTTTCCCTGGGCTCCTTTGCTGGTTTGGGCTGCTCAGGACAAGAGGCTGGGTTTGATTTATCACGGCACATAGTAGCTGCTCATTAAACTTCAAATGCAGAGAAAAGGGAGACGCAGAGGAAGGCAGGGGTGGGACTGGCTAGAGCCCTGATGCAGACCAGCAGTCCTCAGCCTCCAGGTCTCCATGTCCCCTCCTCCAGGAAGCCCTGCCTGACTCTAGGCTGGATCAGCGCCTTGCTCCCAGCCCTGCCCACTCTGGGTCATCACTGCCTGGGGACCAGACTGTGAGCCCCAGAGGGCAGAGGCAGGACTGTTGTCCCCACAGGGCCTCCAGGCATTACCCAGCATGGAATCAGTCCCAGTATGGGGGCTCAGAATATTAGGTAAAATAACAACGAAGCTAAACTTGAATAGAAGTCTGTCTTTTATGGGCATATCAGCATTATACATAATGGTGAGATTTCCTGTTGTTTTCTTTTACCAGGGTTGAACCCAGGGCCACTCTAGCACTGAGCTGCACCCCAGAGCCTTTTCTTTTCTTTTTCTTCTTGACACAGGGTCTCTCTAAGTGACCCAGGCTGGCCTTGAACTTGATCCTCCTGCACCAGCTTCCTGAGTTGCTGGGATTGCACCACACCAGGCTAAAAGTCCATCTTTGTTTTTGTTTTTTTTTTTTTTTTTTAATTTTTATTAGTTATTGATGGACTTTTATTTTATTCATTTATTTTATGTGGTGCTGAGAATCGAACCCAGTGCCTCACACATGCCAGGCCAGAAATCTACCACTGAGCCCCAGCCCCAGCCCCTAAAAGTCCATCTTAACACGTTGAAATTCCTACAAACTCCTGTCACACAGAGGCTGCCACGGCTCCACTTCTTTTCATTTATCTTATGGTGCTGGGGATGGAACCCAGGATGGAACCCAGAGCCCGTGCCTACTAGGCAGGCCTCTGTCACTGAGCCCCAGCCCCAGCCCTCCCCTCGGCTCCTCTGCCTCCGCTTCCCGCTGACTGATCTCTGATGTGTGATGTCTACTCCATCCTTTGCCCGGTTACTCGCTGGCTCCAGTTAATGGGATGCCAGGCCCATGCCACCTGTCTTTTCTTCTTTTTGAGGTCCCAGGGCCTTGCACATGCCAGGCCAGTGCTCTAGTGCCGGCCTACAGCCCCACTCCTTTTTTATTTTCATTTTTTTGTACCAGGAATTGAATCCTGGGATGCTTTACCCCTGAGCCACATCCCCAACCACCCCCCCTTTTTTTTTTTTTTTTTTTGGTACTTGAGATTGAACTCAGAGGCACTCGACCACTGAGCCACACCCTCAGCCCGATTTTGTGTTTAATTTAGAGACAGGATCTCGCTGAGTTGCTTAGCAACTCAGAGTTGCCGAGACTGGCTTTGAACTCAGGATCCTCCTGTCTCAGCCTCTCAAGCCTCTGGAACTAGGGGTATGCGCCACAGCACCTGGCATCCCCAGCCCTTTTTACTTTTCATTTTGAGACAAGAGTTTTGCTAAGTTGCTTTGGGTCTCACTGAGTTGCTGAGGTTGACCACCATCTTGTCATCCTCCTCCCTCAGCCTTTTGAGTCTCTAGGATTCCAGAGGAGTGCCACCACCCCTGGCGCATGGAAACTGTCCTGCTCCTGCGGTGCCTCAGTTCCTAGAACAGTGCCTGACACACAGTAGGTGCTCAATAAACACTGTGGCCAGGTAGAATTGTCACCCAGTGGTACAGCTCTTGCCCAGGATGTGTGAGGTCCTGGGTTCCAGCCCTGGCACCTCCAACAAAACCAAATGACAACTCTCCAAAGCCATGAAGATCACTGGGTTTCCACTTAGGGCAGATGGGCAGACGGGCAGATGCTCAGGTGCAGGCATCACCCACTCCTGAATTCCGAGTTTGCGATTTCCCTTCTCTGTTTCTTACATCAGAGGCAATGCATATGTCCTTCAGGATCTTGACAGCATAGAGCCCTGGTCACACCAAGGAGACACCCAGAGTCCCAGGCCCGTAGGTGGAGTCCACACTTGCAGGGCAGCCAAGGCAGGGAAGGGGCTCCATGCTGGGCACCTGGCCCAGCCCCTGGGGCCGACAGGGATTCCTGGGGGAGGGGATGTGAAACCCTGGTGATTCAGAATTAGCCCAAGAGAATCATAGCCAGGCACAGGGGTGCACCCCTGTAACCCCAGCACTTGGGCCAGGGCTCAGGTGGGAGGATCACCCTGTATCAAAATAAGGTAAAAATAAATAAAAACAATTAAAAGGATGGGGGACATGGCTCCGTGGTGAAATGCCCCTGAGTCCAATCCTCAGCACCAGAAGGAAAACAAAACAAACACGAGTAGATGCCCTGAATGACGCTCCGGGTGAGACTGTTCAGCAGTTCCTTCAAAAGCTCAAGGACAGACCGGGCGGCCTGGTGGCACATACCTGCTGTCCCACAGCTTGGGGGGCTGAGGCTGGAGGATCACCAACTTCAAAGCCAGCCAGGCCCTGTCACAAAGCAGAAAGTAAATGGGGGTGGGGGGTGGACTGGGGCTGGGGCTGGGACTGAGTGGTAGAGCGCTCACCTAGCACAGAGAGGCCCTGGGTTGGATCCTCAGCACCCATGAAAATGAACTAATAAAATGAAGACACTGTGTCCAACTGCAACTAAAAATAAATGTTTTTTTTTTGTTGTTGTTGTTGTTTTTTAAAAGTAAATGTGCTTGGGATGTAGCTCAGTGGACCAGGGGATGTCACCCAGCGCCCCTGGTTCAATCCCCAATACAGAGAGAGAGAGAGAGAGAGAGAGAGAGAGAGAGAGAGAGAGAACAGTAGTTAGACAAAGAAGCCAGACACAGAAGCCATCCATTCCTCTCCATTCCTGTGAAACATCTGGACAGGTGAATGAAATGGCTAGGGGTGGAAGGTAGGTTGAGCCGGGTCGGAGAGAAAGGAAGGGGGGACCACCACGAGGCTTACAAGTCTCCTTTAGGGATGATGAAAGAATGTTCTGGAATTGGTGGTAATGGTTGTGCAAATGGTACTAAAACCTTATTTATTCATTGGTCTGCCTGGGCAGTGCTGGGGAGGGACCCAGGGTACAGGCCTGCTGGGCAACGGCGGTGCCCTGGGCTCCGTCTGTGACAGCTGTTGACCAGTGACGGGACCTTGCTTCCCCAATGCTGAAGGATAACACCAGAGAAGCAGACGGAGGCGAGAGGAGAGTGGACCGTGGAGGCTTCATTAAAGGACAGCGGAAAAGGCTTCTCCCAGGAAGAAGGGGACCCTAAAGGCACATCCGTGGAAGGGCGGCCAGGTCTGCCCTTTTTATGGCTGAGGCCTTCTCCTGGTGTCCCACACTCCTGTCCTCGGTCTCCCTCTGTCCTGCTGTGATAGACCGCAGGTGGGAAGGCCAGAAGGTGGGAGAAGGGGGACTGATGGGCAGGGAGGAGTGATCCGGCAGGAAGGGCCTGGGGGGTCTGATTAGCACCTTGCTGTTTGGTGCAAGCTGCTTCATTAACAGTTCCTTAGGTAGGGCTCAGGGCCTTGGGGACATTAGCATTTCAATTTCCCAGGTGCGGTTCTGGTTGCTGGACTCCATTTTCTTAATGGCCTCCCCTTTCTTCATCTCACTCACCTGAGACCCGATTTCCCTAACCACACTAACTACCCATCTTCAAATCTGGCTTCATATCTTTGACCCTTCAGATTTCCTTTAGAGACGGCCTCCCTGGCGCCCCCCCCATCCCCCGCTAGCTGTGCACTGACCCTCTGCCTGCTCGGCCTCCGGAGGCCTTGGGGTCACAGACTTGCGCACTGCACCAGCTTAGAGGGGGATCTTATTTTTATTTATTTATTTTTTTTAGTATTTTTTTAGCTGTAGATGGACAAATACCTTTTTTTGTTTGTCTATTTGTATGTGGTGCTGAGGATCCAGCCCAGGGCCCTGGGCGCTAGGCCAGCCTCCCCCGCTGAGCCCCAGCCCAGCCCCTTACAGGGTGAAGCTGATGGAGTGGGAATGACCTCTCAGTTTCCATCAGGAACGAGTGTCCCATGTCTGGGGTCTCAGGGTCCATCGCCACCAATCCTAGTCCCTCCCCCTCCCCCGCCCCCACAGGTGTTTTTCAGTTGCCTCTGAAGTCCACAGTGAATGACCTTCGGCCTGACCCCGTCACTAAGATGAGCAAACATTGCGGGCAGCAAACAACAAACAGCCCACAGCCCTCCCTGCACAGCGGCCTTGGAGCTGGGGCAGGGGACAGAGACCTCCCCACACTCTCCAGGAAATCCCTGCTCAGCCCGGTGGAGAGTGAGGCCCCGTGCAGATGGACACCCACGCCCGCCCGCAGCCTCGGTTTCCTCATCTGTAAAAAGGGGATTCCGGGCCTGAGATCTCAGGGGCTCAGGAGGTTGAGGAGGAGGAGGATCTTGATTTCGAGGCCAGCCTCAGCCACTTAGCAAGATGCTGTCTCAAAATAAAAACTAAAAGGGGCCTGATGTGGCTCAGCCGGGAAGCACCCCTGGGCTCAATCCCCAGTACTAGCTCTCCAAAAGCGGGGGACATCAAGAATGCCACCTCCCAGGGCCCTGGTGACCTCTGCCCCTGTGACCACGCTCTGCCTGTTGCACAGCAAGGGCTAGGGACACAGATTCTAAATTCTAAATAGAGAGCAGCAGGTGATGACCAAGCACCTCCCCTGGGCACTCCATGTGCCCGATCTCCTGATTTCTTTTCTGCTCCTGCTCCCCGGGTGGG